TGTCACGGTCTTTTGTTATCCGTCGATCCACCGACTGGTTTTCGTTTATGGCAATTAGTTTTATTGAGCAAGAGCGAGTGGTGCAGTGACTTTTCATGAGATTCTTGTTTAACTGTTAGCAATTCTTGTGTACAGTATTAGTGATTCTTGTGTATTAACGATGAGTGATGTGCGCAATGTAAATGTCGGGAGCAGTTCTGGTGGTAATGATGGCTAAAGAGAAGGTCAACAAGGAAAGCCCTGCCAAGCGTGACTACCATAAGGGGGTCAAGAAGAGGAAATACAGGTACACCCTTGAAATGAAACGAGAGATGCTCGAGATGATCAAGTGGTGCTCGTACCTGTGAAATCATGCGTAGGTTCAACTGCCCCGAATCAACCATACTTCCCTTAAGAAGAACAAGGAAGCCTTAACTGCTTCTGTAAATGTATTCTCAAGATTTTCTAGTAGCAAGATGTTCTCCGATAATTCGCAACGAAACATACTGCTTGTTATCACAGAACATTACCTTCACAAGTGGATGGAAAGAAGAAACCGTGAGCAAGGCGACCTGTCTGGGCCACAGATAAGGCATCAAGCATGTGTTTATTACACTGCAGTTGCACAGAAGAAACGCGTTAGCTCTCCAACCACCATTCAATGCATCTGTTGGTTGCTTGGCGTCTTTTAAGAAGCATTATGAAGTCAAGTTTGCCCACTACCCTGGGGAGAGTGCATCAGCTGATGTCATAGCAACAGAAAAATATCCACCTGTCTTTCAAACTCTTGTGGAAGAGGGTGATTATTGCCGAGACAGGATTTTCAATTGTGACGAAACTGACATTTTCTGGAACCACTCACCTAAGACCACTTTCATTGCCAAGGATGAAAAACAGGCAAGGGTTGTAAAGACTTCAAAGGACAGGATCACAGTTTTACTCACAGCTAATGCAAGTGGAGATTTCTTGATGAAACCCCTAGTTGTTAACCATGCTGCCTGTCCTAGAGCTTACCGTCATGCCAGTATGTCACAGCTCAATGTTTATTGGACGTCTAATAAGAATGCTTGGGTTACAACGTCTTTATGCACCAACTGGTTTGACAAGCACTTTGTTCCTGACGCCCAACAGTACTGCCTGAGGAAGAACAATGACTTCAAAGTGATCCTGGTGATGGATAATGCTCCTGGACATTCAAGTTTCTAGTTGGACGCCACCCTAATGTCAAGTTATCTTCCTTCCTCATTACACCACATCGCTTCTGCAGCCACTTGACCACGAATTCATCTGTAACGTTATACTGTTCTACTATCAGTCACTCTGTAAAGACTTTCATCAGCAGACAGACTCATTAGTTGAGTTACAACAAATCGAGGCAGAACTCTCTGACAGTGACCAGGCTCTATCAGCTAACCAGGAGGAGGAGGAGCAGGAGATGGTAGATGACTCGACTCCTAGCACCTCATCACCCCACAACCGTGAAGTGTTATCAGTATGTGAATTTTGGATGAAATATAATATTAAAAATGCAGTGGACAAAATAGTTAAGGCATGGCATAAGATTAATCTGGCAACAGTGCTACACGCACGGAAGCCTCTGTTCGCTAACTTTGAGGTAAGTGGGGCAGAGCAGACTGAGGCAAGCGGGGAAAAGCAATGTGGCGGAAACACTAATGGACACAGTCGAGGCACCGCAGTCAGTCCCGGCACTGGAATTTTCGGATGTTAAGGTTGAAGATTTGCAAGAAATCGTTGGTCAACATCAGCAGCACGATAATTGAAGAACTGTTGGAGGAGGATGAAGAACAAGAAGGACCGCAAGCAACACAAGAGGATGACGTTTATCCTGGTGAACCTACAGTACAACACGCCAGCTGACTGGATTGCTCACAACCAACACATGTTTCATTGAACAGCTAGAAGCATACGATACCAGGCCTCATCCTCGGAACCATATCTGCCCTGTCCTTGATAAGGTCATAGTAGAGGAATATAAAACCTTGTACATGTCCCGTGTTAATGCTCGTCAGCAGGCCCTTATTACTCGGCACCTGCACAAGGCCCAGCCTATTATTAATGCCTTGGCAAACATCACTTTAGGAAGTGATGATGGCACCACTGATGATGATATTGAAGTGTTGGGTGACTTGCTGGTGGAAGAGCTGTGTCAAGACTTTGAGGGATTGATACTGAGGTTAGAGGAGATGTAGATGAGGGAGCAGGGAAGAGGCAGTAACCAGCCCTCCCTGCCTCGGAACCCATCAACCAGCCCGTCAAACATTTCACTGACTCCATCAAGGTAAGTTATTCTACAGTATGAGTGTATATAAATATTGTCATCAACAATATGTACAATATACTATGTATGAATACATTACAGTAATGTAATTTTCTTGGTGGGTTGTAGGTCATTATAGGGGGGTTTGGGTGACAATGTGGAACTGATTAGGCTTATTTATATGTACAGTATTTCAATGTCACTCGTTTCGCGATTTTAACTTTTGCGACGCTAAACCCGGTACCAATTAGTTGCGAAACATGAGATCCTACCGTACAGTAATACCAATCACTTAGTAAAAATCAGTATCTGTCAGGTCACCCTTTCTTGGGTGGGTGATTAGTGGGTCTCATGACCTGAAGATGTCTTGAATAAACACGAAAGCTAAAGTATTTTTAGGGAGATTGTGATAAGTATAAGTATAAATGAGTAAAGTTGTATCCCTTCAACATTACATTACATGACATTTTAAAATATGGAGCGAGAAAGAAGAAAGGTGTGGGTGATTAGAGAGATGGAGTGGAAAGGAGTGGTAACATGCACCAGTGTTGCCAAGCGATAAGCTCCTCAACAGCTGATCTTGTAATTCGCCTCCATGCAGTCACACAACAAGACCCTCACTGAATGCTTGTTGTCTTAATTCCTGTGTGTGTGTGTGTGTGTGTGTGTGTGATGACAAATTTGAGGTTGTAGACATCAGCTTATCACTTACATCTGCTAGTCTACGAGAACAGTAGCCATCATGGAAACCAGCTCACCACCACTACCACCATTAATACCATCATCAGCAACCATCATTACCACCATCACCAGCAACCACCACCACCTACAGCCATCACTTACAACCACCACTACCACCATCACTTACAACCACCACTACCACCATCACCAGCAACCACTATTACCACCATCACTTGCAACCACCACTACCACAATCACCTACTGCCACCACTACCACCATCACTTGAAACCACCACTACCACCATCATCAGTAATCACCACCACTGTTTGTGACATGAGTGTTTGGTGGTTCTCGGGAGTTGAGTGATGCAGATGTGTGTGTGTGTGTGTGTACGGGGAGGGGGGGGAGGACAGCAACACACATAACTCAGTATTTCTTTAGGCAAGTTTTCATTGTTAAAACATTTGCATTGTGCCAACATGTTGTTAAGTTACATTTATTCATTACAGATACAATTAAACAGTAGATAATGGCAAATTTCAGGCTGTAGACATCAGCTGGTCACCTCCTCCACCTCTATCACTGCCACCATCTCCCGCGTTATTATAAACTTATTTTTTAGTACCCTCATCTGTCAATATTAAATCAATTTTATTATAACACTGCATTGTCAAGATACATTTAATTATCATAGATAAAAAAACCTGGACTGACAAATTTTAAAATTTAGACGTATTTCCTTATTTTCCATTTATCTGTGTTATTGGATGATACAAAATGTTCCATGAGTCGACTGAAATGCACATGTGGTGGTGGTTATGCAATAGACGTCTGAAACATTTTATGTTTGCAGCCCCAAGTTAGCGGATTTTTATAACGCGGTCCTCTATTATTCGCGGATGACACCCTGAATGTACCGAAGAATGTCTGTGGGTAGTTTTAAAGTTGCCGGCATTTTTGCGGCTGGGACAGGGAGCCATTCATTCTAGAGAGAGTAATTTCCTTTACCTGTATTGTAAATATGTGTGTGTGTGTGTGTGTGTGTAGAAACACATACAAATAATTAATACTGTAATTGGAAAATACTCTGACAAATAATCAGAAAAAAATTTATTAAAAATGTGAGTCTACCCTGAAATCCGTGCTTTATTACTTTATGAATAAAGCAAGGACTTGACGGTAGACTGTCACATTTTTAATAAATTTGTTTCTGAATACTGTATTTGCGACAGTATTTTCCCATTATTATTTATTTGTATGTGTTTTGTGTGTGTGTCTACACACACACATACACATACAATACAAGTAAAAGAAATAATTGTCCTAAGGGCAAACACAAAGGGAATATACATTTCTTTGTACAGTAAAAATGCCCCCGCCCCCAGTCCACAAATGTTATTCGCGGATTTGGGGATTCACAGCCATTTTGAGAACCTAACCCCTATGAATTTGGGGGGGCCCCCCCTGCATGTGGTGGTGGCAGACTTATGATATAAACAACTACCTATCGGGTTTCTTTTTACATACAGGTATTCTAATTGTTAAAGCCTTTTTATTGTACATCACATCATATTGGAAATCTACATTTAATTACTGTAAGTTCAGTAAAAAGAAGCACAGCTCATATTGACAAATTTGAGTCGGTAAGCATTAGCTGATCACTATTGTCTGGCAGAGTAGCAGCCTAGAGACAAGCACATCACCTTTCCTCATCATCTTCACCTCCTCCCTCATCATTACATGCTGCCTTTTGGTGTTTAAGAGATGGACTCACCTCACCAGAACAAAGCATTGTATTGTACAGCCGTGTGATACCCTTTACCTCTCACCTATTAACTCTACTGCCTCTCATTCCAGGGGATGATGCCATTATTACAAGATGTGTATCTGTTCATTTAGCTAAATACAAACAGTACTGTAGCACAATCCAGTGAAATCTTTTATAGATTAGTAATTAGAAATCACTGGGCAACTCCAGTGTTAGTAGATTAGTACAGTACTGGTACTGGGCCTACTGGCAATACATAAAACTAATGAAAGAATGTTGTCCTTTGTACTTACTAAGCTTGACACTGCCATCCATTCCTAACAAGATATTATCTGATTTGATGTCACGATGTATAACCTGGCTCAGATGTAGGAACTCGAGTGCTTGAAGTACTTCTCTGTAAAGAAAATAAAAAAGAATTATCAAAATGTATATCACTTCTAATCTAATATATAAATAAACATTTCATAGTACTGAATTGTAAATACTTAAGACAATTGTACATACTCAAGACATTCTCTAACCCTTAAATGACAACAATTGTAAATACATGATGAGCACCTTTTGTCCCACAACAACGGTGATAGTCTATATAATCAAGAACTTTCTACTCCATAATTTTTAAGTTTGTCACTTAATATCTGCTCGAGTGAATTATTTTGACTTGTAACAACTTCTCTTTCAACGTGCTTGTCCCTCCCTGCACCAGTAGCATTTTTTGTTGTGATGGAGGAAGTATCTGTCATATCCCCGGCAGTCAGAGCAGTACTTATGATGAAGATTTCTAAGACTGGGGCATTCCACCGAGAGGTGTCGAACAGTCAATAGGACCAGTCAGTCATCACAATGGGGAGAGGGAGCCCCCTCAAAAAAAAACCGAGTCAGCCATGTGTGGCCAATGTGTCACATTATGAAAATGATGAATTAACTTTTGTTTGTTTTTGCCCTTACCATGTTGATGCTCCATGCCAACCTGTTCCCTGAGAGAAATAAGACCATCTGAGGACACCTGTGTTCCAGAAGTACTGTACAAGAGCAGGGATAGGTGCCAATAATGTTGTCACAAACCAAATCCGTATACAGTTGGTCCTCATATTACGCGGTCCCGCATTCCGCGTTTCACCGTTAACGCGGTGCCTTGCCAGAACCTAACATTTTCACATTCCGCGGTCGTGAACCCCATTACGCGGAGAGCGGCTGGCAAGCCGCGCCATTTTTGGATCCAAACCTCCCGCCATCCGCCATGTTGTGTAAGAGGCGCGAAAATGGTGCGCACAAGGTCGCCCAGTCATCAAAACATGACCAGTTCTTCACCCGCCACCCACTACAGCCGGCCCAAGTCAGTGATAGTGATAATTATAGTGAGGATATGGACTTATATGAACTTTGGGGGGTTTGACAAAGAGGCCCTGCAAGCCTCTGTGGTGGATAGTGATACAATTGATACAAGTGATACAGGTGAGGGCCAATAATCTGCCCTCTGCCTCGGAACCAACCGCCCATCCCCGTGTGCCCAGCCATCTTTTCTACTAATGTAAGTGTTAAAAACCTAATATTATTGATATTTCTCTTAATTATTAATTGTGTGTGCATGCCATCATAAAGTTAAGATAATATTTTTACTACAACATAGTTGTGTGTCGTCAAAAAGTGGAGTTTGGGGATCGGCCCGGACTCCATTTCAATTAATCCCATATGTTATGTTATTCACTTTACGCGTTTCTCACTTTCCGCGGTACCCTCCGGGTTACATTAATCGCGTAATATGAGGACCAACTGTACCTTGTAAATCCAGCCCTTATTATTTTTATATAATGAAAATAATAAAAAATTATGTACTGTAATTATTTTCATCCGGACAGTGTGCCTTAGTTTTATTTTATTTCTCATCATAATAAATAATATAATTTGTCTTACTGAAAATTTTCATTAGCTCAAACACCACAGAGGAAGAGAGGGGATGAGGGAGTCAGAGATGCGATACATTCCATACAACTTATCCTTGTATTTATTTATTTTTTATTGAAGATGTTATATTATCTATGATGAATCATACACCATAAAAGGCGGATTATATGATAAAATAATAAATAAATTAATAAAAACAGGTTCAAAGCTGGCACGTGCAGCAGTGCCCAGGTCGCATACAGTGGTCCCTCGGTTAACGAGCGCCTCGGTTAACGAGATTTCGGTTAACGAGTTACCTCCCATAAGATTCTTAACTTCGGTTAACGAGTTTCTTACGAGCTGACCTCAACAAGTTTTGGCTTGCACTGGGCGGTCAACCAGCTGTAGTATTATTCCGTCAATACATTTATCGGTTCTAGGGCTTAAATTCCTTACTATTTTAGTATATATCAAGAAGTTAAAACTATTCAATAATTTTAAAAGTTTAATATTAAATTTTTTAGTCATTTTAACAATTATTGAACATAATTGAAGGTAAAGTGACTAGTTTAATGCGCGGCATCCAGCCTCTTAACACAGCAAACAGGCGTTAGTCTCTCTGTTTTCACTGGAGGTAACGTCTTGCTTGAGACTCTCTTCAACTAAATGGTTTTTTTCTGTTTCCAAGCAAATTATTGGTCATTTTGAAATTTATTTTACATATTGACAATATATAGCGCAGTGCAGTGTTATTTTAAAGAAAATATTCTTTATTTACAACAAGTTTAACTTTGAAAAGCACGTGTTGACATTGTTTGAATCCAGCATGGGGCCTAAGAGATCAAGAAAAGCGATTTCAATCCAAACCAAGCAGGAAATCATAAAAAAACATGAACAAGGCATTAGAACAAATGCGCTATGCAAAGAATATGGCATGTCGGCATCAACTGTGTCGACAATTCTTGCACAGAAAGACAAATTTAAAGAAGTGAAAGTGAGAGACAAATCTACAAGAGTGTTTAAAAGTAGATCACAAATTGCAGAAACTGAGAGGTTACTTATCATCTGGATTAGGGAAAAACAGATGAAAAGTGATTCAGTGTCTACTGAATTCATTTGTGAAAGAGCCAGGGAGATTTACGAACATTTAAAGACAGATCAACCTGGTTCTTCAGGCACAGAATTTGAAGATTTTCGGGCCAGCAAAGGCTGGTTCGAAAAATTTAAGAAAAGAAGTGACATTTTCAGTGTTGTTAGGCATGGTGAGGCTGCTAGTGCTGATAAGGAAGGGGCAGCAAAGTTTTTAGATGAATTTAAAAAACTGATGGAAGAAGAAAATTATCTTCCACAGCAAGTGTTCAATGTGAACGAAACTGGGCTGTTCTGGAAAAAGATGCCCAAAAGAACATTCATCACCAAAGATGAAGCCTCTTTACCTGGGCATAAACCCATGAAAGACCGTCTCACTCTATTGCTTGGTGCCAATGCTTCAGGGGATTTCCGACTGAAGCCTATGCTTGTCTACCACTCTGAAAACCCCAGGGTGTTCAAGCAACAGAAAGTGGTAAGAACAAAGCTTGGAGTTTATTGGAAGTCCAACCGTAAGGCATGGGTGACAAGACAGCTCTTTAATGAATGGGCTGTTGATGTGTTTTGCCCTTCTGTCAAGAGCTACCTAACCACCAATAAACTCCCTTTAAAGGCTCTTCTCCTCATGGATAATGCTCCTGGTCATGACCCTGACCTTGCCAGAAATTTGGAGTATCAATTTGACTTTGTGAAAGTGTTGTTTTTGCCTCCAAACACATCATCAATCATACAGCCAATGGACCAGAATGTGATCAGCAACTTCAAGAAGTTGTACATGAAGAAAATGTTTAGGAGGTGTCATCAGGCAACTTCCAATGATCCTGAACTGACAATGAAACATTTCTGGCAACACAATTTAACATCCTGGAGGCTGTAAAATTGATTGTGTCATCATGGCAAGAAGTCTCCACTAGATCCCTCAATTCTTCATGGAAAGCACTGTGGCCATCAGTAGTCCATGATTTTGAGGGATTTGAGGAAGAAACAGAGTTGGACCAGGAGATTGTGTCCATTGGTCAGTCATTGGGCCTTGAAGTGGAGGAGGAGGTTGTGGAAGAGCTTGTGATGTCTCATGAGGAGGAACTTACTCCTGATGACTTGAAGCAACTGGATGAGATGTTACATCTAGGCTGACAGTGTTGAGGAGGAAATTGAAAGTGATGACCATATGTCAGCTAAACAGTTGAAAGATGTGATTTACTACTGGGAGAAGTTCAGGGAACTGGCTTCAAAGCACCCAGAAGTGGAAAAACTGAACTAACTTTGTGTCATGTTGAGGACTCAGTGGTCTCCTTCTTTAAACATAAGTTAATGGTGAGGAGGACAGATGCCCCACAGACCACAATTGACACTTTCTTCAGTAAAAGGCAGAGGGAACAAGATGCTATCCCTCAGCCTTCTACTTCAAGAAGGAGAGAGGATGTTCATGGTGGAGAATCTGTCAGTCCAGAGGTTCCTGACATTTTCATGGAAGGTGACTCACCTTCCAAGAAGCAGTAAAATGCTTCTCCTCCACCTCCACTTCCTTCTCTTCTCCCTTCACCTCCTCCACCTCCCACTTCCTTCTCTTCTCCCTTCTCCTCCTCCACCTCCACTTCCTTCTCTTCTCCCTTCTCCTCCTCCACCTCCCACTTCAAATTCACATCATCATCATCATCCAGGAGCCTTCTACATGCACACCTCAAAGTAAGTGTACTTTACTACCTTTTTTGTTGAATTTAGGCAATTTTCGGTGAGCTGGAACCAATTACCCAGAAATCCATTGAAACAATGGTTTCGGTTGACTAGTTTTTCGGTTCACGAGCAACCTTTTAGAACGAATTGTGCTCATTAACCGAGAGACCACTCTATATTTAAATACAAGTTTTTTAACTCGTATTTTCGGGTAGATAAACTTAACCTTCTTCATTTATTTTTACTAATTTACATTCACACACCATCGTAAATACATAATGCAAAAAAAGTAAGACATAATTGTCCTAAGGGCAAACCTGTACTCAAAATACTAAATAATTACTAAAAATTTTATGTCTAATGCAAACAATTTGATGCTTTTACTCATATCAATCACTATCTTACAAGAATTCCAGCAATGTAAGTTGTATTCTCCCAAGTCAATTCAGTAAAATTTTATAAGCAAAAAACTTAAAGTCCCACAAAACAGTATGATCTGATAACTAGCTCCTGATAACTTTCCCACCTGCTGTCAACAACCTCACCTTCCCCCTCCTCCCAGCCAGGGTGGAGGTAGTAAATTTTAGGCTTAAAAGTTTTTAACTTATCAAATGTCACAGACTAAACTTAGCCGAATATAACTTGCATTGATGGAATCCTTGCAAGATAGTGAATAATTTTAGTCCTTAATGTAGTACATTTGAGTACAAAGTGAGTACAGTACAGTAATATGTTGCTTAAAATTAT